TCACGAAAAAGTATCCCCTTGATGGCGGACCCCGATGCTGAAACACTCTCAGGGCGCGGGAGATGTTGCTCGAACTTCGACTCGAAGGGCGTGTACACGCGGAAGCAAGAGGTTTGAATACCCAAAAAATGTACAGTGGGTCTGAATTTTTTTTTCAGCACGTCGAGGGACCGGGGTTGAACCCGTGCTGATGCGTCCGGTCACGCCGTGGGAACATCAATCGCGATCGCATCACTCGCACACCATCTTCGCCTCGGCGTATCTCCTTCCTTTCCTTCCTCCGTCTCCTCTCCTTCGTGTCCCTTCGAAATCGCGTTAACTCGGTGGCATGGGAGCCCTCGCGACAGCGAACGAGCTGCTCGCCCGGGGCCCCTGACGGTATCGAGGGGCTGGCCGACGAGAACCTGCGCCGCGCCGCCGACGCTGCCCGCGAGCAGCTCGTAGCCCCTCGATACCGTCAGGGGCCCGGGCTCAGGGCGGGGTGCGTCTTCGTCTTTTTCTTTCCTTTTGCTCGACACGAGATATTTGGAGTATGTTCACGCTGGGGGGCGTGTCCTGATTGGATGGCGCGGGGCCCCAGTCCTCTGAGCCTACAGACCGCCATGCTTACAGACGGCGATGTTGAAGATTTACTAATTGTGCGACATACTGGCTCGCGCGTTATCCGCTCGGTGCGTCCCTCCCCGTGTTCCCCCCCTTTCGTCCCCCCCCCCCCAACCCCTTCTACTACCATACTGACGCACCCATCCCCCCTTCCCTCATCCTCAACACAAAACACTCGTACTAACCTAACGCCCAGACGTAATAAAATCGGGCGTCCAGCTGCGCGCGACGCCGCCCGCGGGCATGCCATCGGCGTACATGCTCACGGAGGCGGACCCGGTGGTAAAGGAGGGGGGGTGATGAGTTTTGCCGCTTTTTCTTCATCTCCTTCTCTTGCGGGATTAGATGGCTGCTTCCGGCGCCCGCTTTTTGGGTGCTACTCGTGCGCCCACAATGGGTGCTTCTTGCGCGACCCATCCGAGTCCGACTCTCGGATTGTTGACTGAGACGAGCGCCGAGTGCTGATCCGCCCTGACGGAGTCGCACATACGCTGAGGCACGGGGACGACGCGCCCTACGCGAGAGTGCGCTTGCCCGCTGTTGCGGCTGTCTCCATCATCTCTACATCCCGCGTCCTGTGGGGTGTTTGTGTATTTGTGCTGATGCTGATGATTTTCTCTGCCGGGTAGGAAGGGCCTCTTCCGCGGGCTCTCGCCCTCGCTACTACGAAGGCAAGCACGCCTACTCCATATGTGGAATCGCCGGCTAATCGGGAGGGTGGTGGTATGATATAGTATCCCGGCGACGGCAAGCACGTCTGCGGTATTTGAGATTACGAGGGGTGCGTTTGTTTTCTCTTCCCATGGTTCCTCCTCCTTTCCTTCGTTTGTCGAGTCTTCGTCGGATCTTTTGTTTTCGTTTGGTCGTTGCTGCATTGTCGCGTCATGTCGGGCGGGTGCTGCGCTGGCCGGCTGCATATGAGCGCGCCTCTCGTTCGGTTGGTGCTGGCGTAGCCTTTGGGCTGCACGGTCTTGTGGGGCGGCGTGCCGGGCGCTCATCCTGATGTTGATGCCCGGCTTTCGTGCGACTTAGTGGTTTTTTCCCCCGAGTGTCGCCTGTGCCGCCGCTTTGCACTTCATCCTTTTTTCCCGCGCGCTGCTTCAATTCCGGACACGCGCTGACTTGGTTTGATTTCGATCGTTTTTGCGTGCGCAGAGTGGCTGTAGTACGTTACGGGCATTTGAACACACACCACGAGGGGGTCATCCCTGAGAGGTACGTGGGATCGCTGTGCGCTGCGTGTGTCGAGTTGATTTGATTTGATTTGGACGCAGGGTACCGGGGTTGAAGGGTGGATGTGGAGGTGGATGGGAAGGAAGAGTCCAGCTCAGCGCTGCTGTTCCTCCTGCGCGGGCTCGAGGTCCTCTTCGTTGTGGCCGTGCTGCTTTCGTGCTGGGCGAACGGCTGGTGCTGTTGGCATGCGACTGCGGTTCTCAATACAGCGGCGCTCGGGGCGGACTTTGCTCGGCCGGCACATGATCAGCCTGCATTCAACCCCGCTTCCTGCTTGCATTCAGGTGTCAAATATATCTAGAAGTTTAAAGACTTTGTGGTGAAGAGTTCCTTCACCTCAACGTGCGGACGTGGGGAGCCGCACCCCGTTCAACTGCAGGTACAAAGCCAACAACATAGTTAGCGAATTCAGTTGTGCACCGTGCACCACGTCTGCTTCCTTCCTGCATTTATGCTTTGAACATACCCCATGTATTCTGATGGAAAAGAAAAAAGAACTCAACACGGATAATGCAGCAGCTAAACGGGATTCGACCCCCCGCGTCCGCGGAGCGACTGCCAATAGTGTTTTGTTATCTTGGACTTTGGGGTGACCTGGTTCAAATTGAAGTAAGAAGGCCAGGTAAAGGAGTAGCGCCACTGCACTTGAGTTCCATTTTCTGCTTCTGTGAATATCAAAATCGGAGAACTTTCTGGACTGTTGGATGAGATGCAGAATGGGATACGGGTAGGAAGCGGGCGTGATGCACAGGCACCTCTGCAACCAATGAAGAATCGTCCTTTGAGAAAATCTTTCAGCAGCTGCTGGGGTTCGACTCCCCGCGTCCGCATGATTCTTCAATATCTCCGACTTTTTTTCTAGTCTCCATACAGCAGTGTCGAGGCCTCGAGGCAAATTAATTAAGACGGAGATTCTGAGAGGCAGCCGACGGAGTGCACGGCATCGCTGCTTCTTCAACGGGTGGCTGCTAACGAACACAGTCCCACAAACACTGAATATATGCATCGCGAGAATAGAGGAAGGGAGCAGACGTGTACGGGGCGCCGCTGCGAGCAATTGTGAATGACGAAGTCTGTGCACTCAATTAGACGGGGGTCGACTCCCCGCGTCCGCGCAATTATGATCTCTGTACACCTTTTTTGTGTGATTTCTGTTTAGGTTGGATGCTCGCTCAATTCTGAACAGGAAAAGATACTAGAGGACGCGGCTGTCCTGGGTGGCCCACAGTTTCGTGGATGGAAGTGAGTGGAATCCTCCCACCGGAAATCGCGAGACAGATTTTTGACCTCCCTGATTTCTTCCATCCAGAATCTACACCAGTGCTCGTTCTTGTCGCCCACAGTGCACCACATGAAGACATGGCACATATTAGCTTGCTCTTCTGCACTTCACCCTCTGCCAGAACGAACAGAATGTCATAATCCGGGATTAGCATGGGGGATTATAATTTATGAGCGGATGTGGTGCACGGTGCACTGCTGCTTCATCTGCACGTGCATTTCTCTCACAACGAGCAGCCTGACGGGGTTCGACTCCCCGCGTCCGCGTGGTCCGCTGCCTGTCAGTTTTATTTTTGGCTGTTTCCCCAAAGGGATCTTAATAATCAAGAGCAGAATTCCCCGCTTGCACAGGGAGGATATATGAGGTGGTACACAGTACTAGAATCACTGCACTCAGTGTCAATGATTGAGAGTTGAGTTTTTAACCTCCCTTCGACGGACGTGTTTCGACGAGGACAGTCCCGCACAAGCTTGACATAGGAAACGCATGAAGAGAGTGAGGGAGCGGACGTGGTGCATGGCGCACAATTTATCATTCTGAGTGGACTTTGGAGCAGTTCCTGGGGTTCGACTCTCCGTGTCCGCCTAACGGCTCACTGTGTTCCTTTTTTTTTTTTTTTGATTATTTCCGTCGAGCAGTCCCAGAACTCTTCGCTGCGTGAACAAAGGCAGCGGATACAGATTATAGATCAGGACTGTAGTTGCTACTGAAAGGGTGGGAGTGCACACGCCTAACGTAAATTCATGGATAACAACTGTGGTTTGATGAGAACAGTCCCTTAGAAACTGAATATATTCCGCTTTTTAATCGGAAAGGAGCGGACGTGGTGTACGGCGCATCACTACTTTAATTCAGTATGATAATGGATGCAGGAAGCGGGCGAGGTGCACGGCGCACCGCTGCATCAAAGCCATCACCAGCAGCTAGACGGTGTTCGACCCCCCGCGTCCACATGCGTGTCTCCCACGAGAGTTTTTTCTCCTTTTCTTTCGTTATTTCGTACGAAAAACTCAGAGCCCGCCCCTCAAAGCGGAGGCATATTCAACTCAATCGCTGAGGCAGGGAGTGGCTGTGGTGCAAGTATCATTGCATACGAGATCTGATGGCCTTTGACGGGCGTGTGTTACTGTAACGAACACAGCCCCTCAAAAGCCTGGGATATTTAGCGCGAGAATGGAGGAAGGAAGCGGACGTGGTGTACGGTGCACCGCTGTTGTACATAAATATTGGTGCCCATAGTTACACAAGCTGCTAGATGGAGTTCGACTCCCCGCGTCCGCGTTAGTCGTCAGACTCCGCATAATTCTTTTTGGCTGCCTGGGTGAGCCAGTCCCAGTTGAACCGAACACAAGTCGAGAGTCAGGCCAGTGTGCTGCGTCGCGCACGGGTTTCGCGGATGGGAGTGATTGCACTTTGAATCCTGCGTCGCCCTGCCGTCGGAAGAGCTCCTGAACTCCTCGATATATTCAGCATGATTCTAGAAAGCGGAGGCGGACGCGGTGCATGGCGCACCGCTGCACTTATTTAGAAATGAGTCACGATAGCCTTCAAGCAGCTGGACGGGGTTCGACTCCCGCGTCCGCATATATCACGCCCAGCCCCTTTCATTTCGAGCAGGCCCGGAACCGTATTCGCCGCGCGTGTTTATGATCTTTGCCCACCTTTTTGTGCGGGGTTTTGTTCAGGTTTGATGCTAGCTCAATTCTGAAGGACAGGGAAAGATCCGAGAGGATGCAGACATGCTGCGTAGAAGTGGTTGCACCCCGAAGCGCGGAACGGTTTCTATGGGCTCCGGGCTTTGCAGTTCGCACGAATCTCCCTAACAGGAGGAGCGGAGTTCCTAAAACCTTGGGGATATTCAGCATGGTCTTAGAGCAAAGGAGCGGACGTGGTGCAGGGCGCACCGCTGCTGCACATCCTGGGATAGTTGTGTTGCACCAGCAGCTAGACGGGGTTCGACTCCCCGCGCCCGCGTACTGAACTCCTGTTCTTCCATTTTGGTCTCTCTTTTCTTTTTTGGTGTAGGCGGGTCGAGCTGACGCAAGCTCGAGATAGACCTGGGGTAAAATGCAACCACGCTGGGCGGCGCGAAGTCTTAGGGAACAGGTGTGCGGTTTGCAGCCAGAAGCCTGCGGGTTCATTGAGATCTGATCGGAGGAGTCCGAAAGCCCCGAATATTTTCAAGGCAAAGATGGAGAAAGGAAGCGGACGTGGTGCGCGGCGCACTGCTGCAATTAATTCAAAGGCGTTACCAGCTTGAAGCAGCTAGACGGGGTTCGACTCCCCGCGTCCGCATAATTCTGTCGAGTCGCCCTTTTTTTGTCGGAGGGCAGCTCCAGTTGAACCCAAGTCGAGAATCAGGCCAGTGTGCTGCGTCACGCACCGGGTTCGCGGATGAAAGTGATTGCCCCTTCAATATCGAATCCTGCGTGCTCCTGCCACTGGATTTTCAAGTCAGAAGAGTTTCTAAAGTTCTGGATATATTCAACTGAATAACAGAGGGAAAGAGCGGACGTGGTGCACGGCGCACCGCTGCAAGTAATGGCAGAATTCGATTTGACAGCAGCTGCTGGGGTTCGACTCCCCGCGTCCGCCTAATTATGATCTATGCGCACCTTTTTTTTGGCCTGGTTTTTGTTGAGGTTTGAGGCTCTTTCCAGTTGAAGGTAGGTAAAATAACAGAGGATGCGGCCGTGCTGGGTGGCGCACCAGTTGCGTGGATGGAAAGGAGTGGTTGCACCTCGCTACCTTGGCCGGGGATGTTCAACGAAAAAGTCCACCAGCTCACGGATACATTCAACGCAGAGATGGAGAGTGGAAGCAGACGTGGTGCACGGTGCACCACTACTTCATCTAGTGATCTACCCAAACCTTGCATGCAGCTGCAGGGGTTCGACTCCCCGCGTCCGCATAATTAGGTCGAGTCGACTTTTTTTGTCGGAGGGGAAGCTGGTTCAAAGTGAAATGAAGTCGAGACAGAGGCCAATATGCTGCGTCGCGTACCGGCTGCACGGATGGAAGTGATTGCACTTTGAATCTTGCGTCCCCCTGCCACCGGGTTTTCAAGTCGGAAGAGGTCCTAAAGTCTTGGGTATATTTAACATGAGAATGGAGGAATGAAGCGGACGTGGTGCACGATGCACCGCTGCTTCATGCCGACGATCACCTCCAAATTCAGGCAGCTAGCCGAGGTTCGACTCCCCGCGTCCGCATAGGCCTCCTACGTTTCAGTTTTTTCTTTTGGTTGAGCTCGAGTTGAAAGGACATCGAAAGAGCACCGGTGAAATGGGAGAGGGTATGGGCGACCGCTGGACGTGAGTTTCGTGGAGAGAGGTGGTGGCACCGGAAGCAGTGGCCAGCGGTTACGGCTTGGCAGGGACTGAAAAATCTTGAACTGCTGGATGAGATGTCGAATGTGATTAAGGTGGGGAGCGGGCGTGGTGCATGGTGCACCGCTGCGATCAATTGCATGAGGTTTCATTTGTAGAGCAGCTGCTGGGGTTCGACTCCCCGCGTCCGCATAATTCTGTCGAGTCGTCCTTTTTTGTCCGAGGGGAAGCTGGTTTAAAGTGAAGTGAAGTCGAGACAGAGGCCAATATGCTGCGTCGCGCACCGGCTTCGCGGGTGGAAGTGATTGCGCCCTCAATATTGAATCCTGTGTCCCCCTGCCACCGGGTTTTTCAAGTCGGAAGAGTTCTTATAGCCTTGGGTATATTCACCTCATGAAGGGAGGAAGAAAGCGGGTGTGGTGCACGGCGCACCGCTGCTTCATCTATATGCCTCTCCCGAATTCAGGCAGCTGCAGGGGTTCGACTCCCCGCGTCCGCATAATTAGGTCGAGCCGACTTTTTTTGTCGGAGGGGAAGCTGGTTTAAAGTGAAATGAAGTCGAGACAGAGGCCAATATGCTGCGTCGCGTACCGGCTGCACGGATGGAAGTGATTGCACTTTGAATCCTGCGTCCCCCTGCCACTGGGTATATTCACCTCAGGCTTAAAGGGAGGAAGAAAGCGGACGTGGTGCACGGTGCATCGCTACGAGCTGTTCATGTGAGGAATGCAGCCTCGTAAAGTAGCTCGACGTGGTTCGACTCCCCGCGTCCGCGTGATTGGGTCTCCATATAGCTTTTAACATTGACTTTCCGGGTATAAGCCAGTTCGAGTTGAACCCCCAAGTCGAGAATCAGGCCAGTGTGCTGCGTCGCGCACCGGGTTCACGGATGGAAAGACGTGGTTGCATCTCAAAGCTGTTGGCCTCCTAGTGTTTTGGACGCAATCGGAGTGGTTCCTGCATCCCCGAATATAGTCAGCGGGATACTGAAGGAAGGCAGCGGACGTGGTGCACGGCGCACCGCTGCACTTGAGACAGGAGTGAGAGTGGCCTTGAAGCAGCTAGACGGGGTTCGACCCCCCGCGTCCGCATAGATAAGCCCTTCGGCAATTTTTTTATGTACGAAATACTCAGCGCCAGCCTTTAAAGCGGAGGCATATTCAGCAACAAAATAAAAGCGAAGGGAGGGAGTGGATGCGGTGTACAGCGCATCGCGGCATTGACCAGCGGTTGGGATATCTGATGGATCTGCGCAGCAGGTTGTGCTGCTCGAGGCTGGTAGGCAAAACTATGTTAGCGCACAATCCAACTAGCTCGCGTGCTTACGATATATTCAGCTTAATACTAGAGGGTAAGAGCGGACGTGGTGCACGGTGTACCGCTGCGTCGACTGCAGTTTCATTGATTGACCAGCAGCTAGACGGGGTTCGACTCCCCGCGTCCGCGTATGGGCATGTCGACGTTTTTTTCTTTTCTTTTCGGCGGAGAGCGCCAGCCCCGCGAATTGAAGTTGCCTGCGGAGACCAGGCCGAGGTTGGTTGTAGTGACACGAATAAGTACAGCGGCCGCTCTACAAACCAAACCCTGGGAACTGATGCTAGGTGCTTATTCCCATTTAAATGTTAGCCAGCCAATGACGGGGCCGGACAGTGTGTTCGCTCTGGGATTCCCGTTCGACTTATTTTAGGCAAGAGAATAATATTTCGGGGACTGTATGAACGTTTTTCAAGATGTGTGTGGTATGGATAAGCTAATGGAGAAATCGGGGTTGAACCCGCGCTGATGCGTCCGGTCACGCCGTGGGAAGATCAGTCGCGATCGCGTCACTCGCACACCATCTTCGCCTCGGCGTATCTCCTTCCTTTCCTTCTTCCGTCTCCTTCCCTTCGTGTCCCTCCGAAATCGCGTCAACTCGGTGGCATGGGAGCCCTCGCGACTGTGAACGAGCTCCTCGCGGGCAGCGTCGGCGGCGCGGCGCAGGTCCTCGTCGGCCAGCCCCTCGATACCGTCAAGACCCGCGCGCAGATCGCGCCGAAGGGCATGTTCGTGCGTCCATTCTGTGCTTTATGGTGGGTGGTTAGTTGACGGAGGATGGGGAGGATAGAAAGGGCCCATGGACATCATCGTGCAGACTGTGCGCAAAGAGGGCTTCTTTGCGTTGTATAAGGGTGTGTCTAATAATCCACCAGTTAGTTTACGCTTACACTTGCAGGCATGGCCTCCCCCCTCCTCGGCATCGCCGGCGTCAACTCTCTCCTCTTCGCCTCCTACGCCGCCGCACGCCGCGCCGTCTCGCCCTTCCCGACCCTGACGCTGCCGCAGACGGCCATAGCGGGCGCGATGGCGGGCGCAGCGAACGCCGTGTTGGCGAGTCCGGGTGAGTGACGCGAGTAATGCGACCGTGTCCGAGCGGGCTGTAGGCGAGTGGGGGAACCCTCCGGGCCCCCGCAGGGAATCCCTTCCCGCGAGTGAAGCGAGGTGCTGTAGGCGGGACAGCGGACGAGGCCTTTGGGGTGCGCAGGCAGTCCTTCCCCCGAGGGGGGCGAGGGCCGCAAACGGGACAAGGTGATGCTTTCCCTCGGGAGGCGCACGCGTATTATACTCGGGTGCCGCATGCGTGCTGGCTGCCCGCGCTGTCGGGAATGCGTTCCCCGAGCGAGGGAGCCGCAGGCGGGACGTCGAACGAGCTCTTCGGGCGCCGCAGGCGTGCTAACTGCCCGCGCTGCAGGCGTAGTATGCAGTACCCTCGGGTGGTGCAGCCGCACCATCTGCCCGCGCCGCAGGCAGTCCCTTCTTCCCTCCTTTCTTTCCTATTTTGTCTGCCGTTACCATACGCTGATGCGCGCACAGTCGAGATGTTCAAGATCCGGATGCAGGGCCAGTACGGCACGGCGGGCGACCAGCGCCTGCGCGCCGTCGCGCGCGAGATGTGGGGTACGTGGGGGTTCAGGAAGGGTGTGATGCGGGGGTATTGGGTGCGTTCGGCGCTCTCCTCGCCTCTCCGTTCCTGGCTGTCTGCTTCGTCCACTGGCGCTTCTTTCTTGGGCGGAGGGTGGGGTCTTCGAGTTGACGGCTGACGTTCCCCCGCATCTAGGTAACCGTCGCGCGCGAAATTCCGGCCTACGCCGGGTGCGTCCCTCTCCCGTTTCTCTCGTTTCGTTCCCAACATTTAACTCAACTTCTCACCACAGATTCTACACCGGTGTGTCTCGCTATCTATTTTTCTGCCCAGACGCGGCACTGACGCGCCTTCGCAGCATACGAATTCTCCAAGCGCAAGTTCGCCGCGCACTACGGGAAAGAAGGGCAGCAGCTCCCCGTGTGGGCGCTGCTCGCGAGCGGGTCGACGGGCGGGATCGCGTATTGGCTCGCATGTTATCCGTTGGGTGCGCCCCCCTCCTCTTTCTTTCTTTTTTTCTTTTTTTCGGGAGAGAGCGGCTCTTTGTATTCGTACGCGAGAGAGCGATGGGGCTTTGGGTTTGCGTACTCGAGAGACGAGAAAAGAGCGTTTTGGCATACCCGGGAGACGAGAGAGGAGCGGCGCGCCGGTGGGACAGCACACGCCACAGTAACGCCCCTGCTGTGACTACACCAGACGGCTGGCGGCGGGCGCCTCCCTTTCGTCACAAACTTTTCACAATACTAACACAAACCCACACAGACGTAATCAAATCGCGCATCCAGCTGCGCGCGACGCCGCCCGTCGGCATGCCGTGGGCGTACATCGTCGCGGAGGTGGGGGCGGTGGTGCAGGAGGGGGGGTGGTAAGTGCTTTTCTTTTTATTCTTATTCGTATTCGTTTTGCGCGCCCGCGTTCGGGGGATGCACGTGCGCTCGTTTCCTAGGACGCCCATCGACCAACCGACTGCTGTTTTGGTGGCGTGCGGTGGTTTGGGCGTTCCGCTGCGCGTCGTTGGTGCAGTGTCGTGTCCCCGGGGCGCCTTTGCGCATCTTTTCTGCGTCGTACTGGTTTGATGTGCTGACGGAAACCTGGCAGGAAGGGCCTCTTCCGCGGGCTGTCGCCTTCGCTACTACGAAGGTACGCACCCCCCCTACTCCTGCGCGCGCGCGTATGTGGAAGGAAGCTGACCTAGATGGTGGTGGTGGCACACAGTATCCCGGCGGCGGCGAGCACGTTTGCGGCGTTTGAGATTACGAGGGGTGCGTTTTCTCTTTGCTTCTCTTTCTCTTCCCTCTCTTTTCCTCACTTCTTTCCTCTCTTTCCTCCTCCTTCTTCACTTCTTCGAGTGCGTGCTTCGGCTTATGACTCCGTTTTTCTTCCCCATTGCTTCCGGTGTGTATGTATACAGAGTGGCTGCAGGACGTTACGGGCGTATGAGCGCCGAACGCGGCGAGCCAATGGGGATGAAGGGAAAGTAAGTCCGATTTTCGTTAGGTGCTTTGATGATGAATTCTGGATGGATAGATGGTGGTTCGTGGAGGCGGACGGAGGATGGAGGGCGGAGGATGGAGGATAGAGGGTATTTTATGTGTAATGCGTCTCGGCGGGCAAGTAAACGATGCGCGAGAGGCTCTTGGGCTGGGTGTGCGTTTATTCGGACCCGGACATCCATCGTGGGTCGTGCCCGTGGACTCGGAGTGGACAATGCAAGGTCTTTCCAACCGACTCTCAAGCGTCACAGGTCCGCACCTGTGGCAATCTCGGGCTCATAGGCACAGGCAATCCGCCAGGTGCAATAAAATGACTGGACTCGCGAGGGTCAATCAACCAGGAGACGCTAATAAAATATCCATGGAGAGAGGACAATGCGGACGCGGGGAGTCGAACCCCGTCCAGCTGCTTCAAAACTCTAGTCGCTCTCTACACATGAATTGCAACGGTGCACCCTGCACTACGTCCGCGCATGATACCCTGTTCGGAACCTGGGTTTATGGATTTAGCGAAGTGAGGCGCTGCACGAGGAATTTTCCACCCGATTTCCCTTCATGCGTTGACTAGGTAATCACACCCCGAATATTTACAAGAATTCCCACCCGCTCTGATAAGTTTCCCAGAAAAAAACCTGCCACGGATGGTACCATGCGGACGAGGGAGTCGAACCCGAGCAGCTGCTCCAAATGTCGATGAAAACGTGATTAATTGCAGCGGTGCGCCGTGCACTACGTCCGCGCAAAATACCACATCGCGGGTTGCGTTTATGAGGATCGTTTACAAGACAATCGTGCTCGCTGGCTACTGCAGACCTCCAACATAAAACCTGTCAAGAAGGATACTGTGCAGATGCAGGGAGTCACGTTGAAGGACAGATCAGCCGAGGGACTCAGAGGCGCTGTACGGCAGAGATTTCCAACTGACCGTTCTGAGAGCTAAGGACGGAAAAATCCTGGCTCCATGGATGATGAGCACAGCCAATCAGAGAGCATGGGGAATGACTGGGAATAACTTAGCAAACCTAATGAAAAGAATCGAGCGCGAGTCCAATGCGGAGGAGTCGAACTCCGTGCAACTATGTGCACGCAAATGAAGGCTATCTCGGTTTTGTTACTCTAGTCTTGTAAGTCCTTGGCAGGGGGGAAATTTGCCTATGTGCCTAAGATTTTTTTTTTTTTTCCCTAAGATACACGTAGGCAAATTTCCCCCCTGCCAAGGACTTACGACACTGAGATCCACAACAAAGCTGGCAAATGGGGCAAGACTGTTTTTCTCAAGACAAAGACCTATCTTAAAGACCACAGCCACCTTACAAACACAAAGACCGTCAAAGAGTAGTTCAAAGATGTAAGATGTCAAAGACAAATGTATTGTTTTACTCATGTGTACAGTGAAAGATCACAAATGCATTTTTTGTATGTAAGTTGATTCAAGTCTAGTCTCTTGCAGACAGACTGTTGCTTCAATAGATGAAGCTCGTTCCTCACTTGTTGAAATTTAAGTCATAATTTGAGTAAAGGATTAAAGACAGTTACCAACCACATGCATAGGTTGCACCTGGCGGTCAGGTGCATCGGTCTTTGCCCCTGGTGTGACACCACCTGAGTACCCCGAAAAACTTGATCTAATTGGCATAGTCCAAGTGGTCACACAAGAGCTCGGGTTTAGCAGAAATCTGTCTCGAAGAGGCTTCGGGAGTCTATTGGAGACGACATGATGTGCCGAGATGGCGAGTACGAAGGACGAGTCATGTAACTAGGTGTGGGTATAGATGTAAATATAAGGGTAGGAGAGCGGGAATAAAGCACAATGCTGACGAGACAGAGTGAGAGGCTGGAGAGCCGCTCCGTCTCGCCAGGTCTCAAGTACGATTTGACACGGGGACCAAGCATCGCACTTTGGTGCTCCAAGCGTTGCGCTTAGAGCGCGCGGTTTGACTCTCTTTCGGCCGCTGGGGGAGGTCAATGTGATGTCATCGAGACAAAAGAATTACTGACCCGGAAGGACAACACCTCTTGTGACCCGTTAGGTGGGCATTGTCCCGCGAACCGCTTACGACCTAAGAGGTGGGAATGCTCGGGTAAGGATTTGTGTACGGCAGAGCATACGCGGTCACTCGCCTCGCCAATTAGACTTGAGTAAACAATATTTTAAACCCGATTTTTCTCGACCCTTCTAAACACGTTTTCAGAGTAGTTTGAACAACTTCCGAAATGTGAACTAAGGTCGGCCAGACTCACCCTCTCTCCCAAGGGCTTTTGCAGGTGCATACCCCTCGCGAGAGGCCTATTCCCGGGGAACAAACAAGGTGCGCAAGCACAACTCCCAAAAATTCTCATCAAACCACCATGATGGCCCATCCATGCCGCGTAGAATTATACCTAACATCAAGTTGGCTTGGTAGTTTAATTATTCATTTACTTCTCTGCCTCGCAGGAACTAAACCCATATTTCGGCGGTCAACCAGGGATCCTCAAGGGTGACAAGAAGACTTCTGATTTGAACGGTAATAACTCCTCGTAAAGGACAAGCCTCATTAATATATAATTTTAAAATAAAATCGACCTCGCATGGCTATTGATGATATGCAACGTTTTGCCAACCACCAATACCTATGAATAGCCGGTATAACCAGGAATTATTCAGCAGTCTGCCTTGGTGCATCTATCGTATCCCGTTTTTGAGCTTCCGGTAGATCAGCCAGCGGCTCCACATCTACAGTCCTGGTAACCGGTTACATCTCACTGGATTCAAGGGCAGAGTTCTGCTGGAATTTTGACCAGGATGATTCGTTATACCGTGCGCCGACCGAGAGGTCGTTTAGATTGAGGAATATCCGCGTTGACTACAAGTTGGGATGATGCGTCAGAAACGTTTATCTCATAGGCACGCTATCACGTACCGCCACGGAGTATGTGGCTAGCAGCCACCTACGAAGGGAGTTCCATATCATTAGCCTACGAGTTTCCCATGAATGTAAATATAATGCTTACGCCGTTCCCATGTACGCGGAGCGGTCACGCACCAAGACGAGAACGAGGTTGACAAGCAGGACACCTGAAATAGTGTTTGTTAAACCGTCACTGAAGTAAATATCTGGAGACAGGCATCCAACATACAAAAGACGATCCCGAAATATATCGCTGTGAACCGGAGATTGGAAATGAGGCTCACGAGGTCCCGGTAATAACGAGACACATCAACGCTCACCTGCATCGCGCAAACACACATGAAGTGTGGGTGTCAGGTTCGTCGTTTGGAACGCAAACAGGTGGCCCACTTTCTTCATCGTCAGCTGACCTTCTGCGCCATCGATAACGTGTGCGATGTCCTTGGCTTTATGGACCACGAGGATGAGGTAGACGCCTGTGATAAAGATGTCCTCTATGATTCTTCATGAGGCGTAGAGGGTTGCGCACCGACGACCACCATGGAGGTGCACCTTGGCAGGATGAGTGGGAATTTGTCCTTAGTATTCATATCCAACTTGAAGCAGCTGGGACGCCTTACCACACTATGCATTCGTGGTGACTGAAATGAGCCAACGGATATAAAGTGCAATGGAGAGTGGGGCTCACTGGAGACATTGACGTCCGGAATGTATCCTTGCCTCGCGTCACAGGTGAGAATTTCGGTACTGCCCAACAAGCCCTTGGCGCCTCCCCGGATTGACATGATAGTCGTAGTGAAGCCAATCTAAATAAGGGCCGTGGAAAATGTAGACAGTTCAGTCGTTTTAGGAAGTGAGACTCACCACGCTCTCAGCTGCAACGGGCGAATAATTCAAGCAGGCGATACATTGCGGAAGGTCGATGTTTACCAAAAAATAAGAACAGGGTAAGCAGAACGACTGCAAGGAAAATATCACGGCTCTCAGTAGGCAGCCTCACCCGCAATTTGACAAATGTGACACACCGTAACGGCTCCACCCATAGACAGCGTTGATTCGGATGAGAATCATGAGCTCCCCAGCCATGATGGAGAGCACTTCAGTCAAGCCCAGGTACCAGCGCGAGATATAAGAGCTTGGTCGACCAAGTCAGGAGGCTACCCGTGTTTTGTCGCATATTCTTACTACTGCAAGGAAGTGAGTGGCACAGCGGTAGCACTGAAAGTGTGCGACGCACTGGCAGGTTCGCTTTGCAAGGCTGCGTCGTGTTAGATCCAGGAGTGAGAGAGCATCAAACGAAACTTTACAGCCCAGAAATTCGGATCTGTGGGAAGGGGACCCCCTGTACCAGTCCTCAAGGTGAGATGTTCTGTCCCAACTGGAAGGTATTAGCATTCCGTAAGAAACTAATTAGTAGCATACCGGCTTCCATGAGGAAGAATCTGAGAAAAGTTCACAAGTGCATTTACAGACCCCAAGCCGAACCGAGACTTACCCCAGTGCAAAAATTGTGTGGTAGCGGCTGAAGATGAATAGGATTTTTGAAATCGACCAAGATGATCTGGCATACAGACTCAGACTTGAATGGAAATATTGCTGCTGGCAGCCTTAGGCACATACCTCCAGACCGATAACAGCTGGTGCATTGGTGTCAATATAACGCACGACACCGCTGGAAGCTAAAACGCACCTCTCGGTCCAAGGTAAGGCACACATCATACACCACCCACATCACCGCTGCGACTTCCCAGTTTCCATCGTCATGAGGACTGAAAGCAATCGAAGGAACGGGACACCTACTCGCAGTTCCCTGCACAAGGTTTGGGTTGCCATCGGGAGAGAGGAGGGACATGAGCACAAACGGGCGACGGGTATTGTCACAGGCGAGCGGCGAGAGGACAGTCTGACCGATGGATTTAAATACGTGGACAAACAGCCGATGTCACATTTTCAAGGTCCCCGCCTTGGCGACAGGCTGAGCGGGAAACTTCTCATTGGTGGGAAATGCCGAATCATAGGAAAAAAGTCTCGTGCGGGCATTGTGCGGGCACATCGGGCGAACGTATCGAGAAATTATACATCCTTGGCATTGAAAATGCACAGATGCGTTCTTCGGGAGGTCTCCCGGTCCGAATGTGGTCCTGTGGCGCGATTTGTAGCCAACTCGGTGCTCTTCACAGCAGCTGCCGTAAGATGACCCTGGTGAATTCCGCAATATTGTCTCCAAGAGTCCAACCCTGGCAGCCCAGACATACTTGGAAGAAATTTTGCTGCGGAGCCGTGGCTCATATTTTTCAAGTGTGTGAGGCATGCAGAGATGAGGAGAGAGGGCTCGAGTACAGTGAATATATACAAGAATCTAGGGATGCCCGACTTCCTTGCAAGCTCTGATGTCTGTCGTCCCTGCAAGTATTGACTTACACTGCTGTGTGGCGCAACAAGGTACCAATCGGGGCCTTATATCAAGGCTGCTGTCCGCCAAGAATGGGTTAAAATAATCCAGATGTGGCAAGAGCAGTTTCCAACTATGGCCATAGCTGATGGCGGTGACGGAAGCTTATGAGTGTCATTGAGAGGCGA